GAGTGTGCTAACAGGGTGCCTGGTTCCTGGGATCCCTGACAATGGAATGGGCAGGGATGGCACGGACACGGCACCGTGCGGGTCCCTTCTCGGGTGAACTCACAGACAGAGCTTTAGGAATGTGGGGGACGTGCACAAGTTTTATCCCAGACATCATCCCACTCATAATTAGGACTGGCACTGTTCAGGTCAGAGCATGAGTCTCCTCAGGAAAAAAAAAAAAAAAAAAGAATGGTTGGGGTTTTTTTGGTGTATTTTAGAGGAAAGAGTGACTAAGGCACTAAGGCAGCATTTCCTGGCACCAAGCCTGCCCTTTGTCCAAAAGCTGACACTAGTGCCACTATGGAGAACCACAGAAGGCTCATTTGCTGCTCACTGCAAGGCAGGAGAGCATTTGCCCCACCCCATTAAATAGACACCACCCCATCAAAGTACCAGAATTTTAACTCTTTAATTCTGACAGGAATCTGAGTACTGCACATGTAAATGGCAGAGTCCATTCTGCACAATAGGCACAGATTCACTGTGCTACCTTCTCATCTTTAAGCCCAGACTGCTGACAATGAACACACTCCCACAAGACCCACAAACACCAGGACTGATCCTACAATCATGTGTTCTGTGCCTCACAAACCAACACACACAAAACAGATTTCCCATATCACTTCTTTATTCTGGAAAAAACATATAAATCCAATCTAAATAAATACCCATCCCGTTCCTTAAGTTTATAGAAAACATAGGGTTTTTTTTTAATTTAATGAATATACAAGTTGTGAAAAACACCAATCACTTGTTTTTTAAATTTTAAAAGTTTAATAGTAATAAAATGGTTATAAAAACAGTAATATAAGTAGACTAATAATAATTTGGACAATTTGGATTAGACAATATGAGACAACAGAAACAAAGAGTTATGGACCTCTGAGTACCTTTTTCTGAGCAGCATAAACCCAAAAGAGGACCCACGTTAACAGAGGAATAACCCTTAAAAGCAACAGACTCTTGAATATTCATACATCTCATACATGATGCAGAAATTCCATTCAAACAAAGGATTCAGTCTGGTCAGTGTCAACATCTTCCTCTTAATCCTAAATGGTGTCTTCAGGGTTGAGCAAGGCAGGAAGAAGTTTGTGTCTTCTGATAATGGAGCAATAAATTCTCTTTCTCTGAAAGATTCAGGTGTCCTGTGGCTGCTATGTCAGTGCAAGTACCTCATTCCTCTCTTAAAAAAAACATCCCGCATACATAGTTCCTACTTTAACTACAAAAGTTACCTTTCAACTACAAACCTATATTTACCATACTATTAAAACGTTAATACAGCACTACTAATCAACACAACAAAACACATATAGTAAATATCTGCAAGGAGCCATACAATATGCACTTTTCTGTTGTGTTGTGATTTCAGGGTTTACCTCAGAACCTCGGGTCCCTCCCCTGATAATTCCCTCCCAGGTGTGTCAGTCACCTCTCCTTTCCACACCCTGACCCCTGCCCAGCACTGTCTGTCAGTCCTGGCATTCCAGACGGGCACTGAGTGATTGGCAGATCCAAAGGATGCCCTCTACCCCTGGGGGGCATTGGACCATCCAGGTGTCCTTTGTCCCTTTGTCCCTCCCCTCCTGTCCCTGCTTGGTGGCTCCCTGCCCCTCTCCCTGGGGTTAAAGGAGCAGCAACCACGGGCTCAGGGAGTTCTGCTGGAGCTGGTGCTGCATTCAGAGGCCTGTGGGCCAGAATAAAGCTCTGGATCCAAACCCTCCATCAGAACCGACTCCTTTCCTTCACCATCACCTTAAAGCTTCTCTGCCAGAGGAGCAGCCCCTGTTATGGGGGGAAGCTCCATCCTGCAGCCACCAGAGCTCCTGCAGGCCTGGACTTGTCTCCAAGCACACAGGGGCAGCACACAGACAGCCAAAAGTGTCTGTGGGGTGAAACACCACACACCCACAGCCAAAAGTGTCTGTGGGGTGAAACACCACACACCCACAGCCAAAAGTGCCTGTGGGGTGAATCACCACAATGCCGCTATTTGATTCAGCAGTGAGGGCTGGACAAGCTCAGCCACATCCCATCCAGCTATATTGGTAATTATCCCAATACTTTTCACAAAGTCTTTCGAGGAGAAGCTGAGCCAGCTGGTGCCAGGTCAGCTCTTGGCTGTCCGGAGCTTCCTGTGGAAGAATTCGGGCGCAGCCTCCAGCAGCCACTCGGCGTCCACGGGGCACAGGTCGCGCATGTAGCAGCGGCTGGTGCGCAGCAGCCCCGTGAACACCACGCAGGCGGGCTTGCACTGGAACAGCACCGAGGAGGGGTGGATGGCCACAGCCTGCTGGGAGCCCACGGTGCTGTAGGAGCCGTCCGGGAGCAGCTGGGCCGCGTTCATGAACAGGCTGTGGGCCAGGCAGCGCCGCACGGCCGCCGTGTCCCCGCGGCACGACTCCAGCGGCAGCGACAGCTGCGGGCACAGAGTGAGCATGAACAACCTGCACCCTCAGGGGATACTGACACAGAGGAGAAACTCTCCAGAGTAGAAATCCATTTTGATTTAGGTGAAATGTACATCTTTGAGTCTCTGGTCAGAAAACATAGCTATTTAGCTCTGTGTGTGTGTGCTGGGACCTGCGCATCTCACTGTGTGGCTGAGTAAAACATCTCTGTGGATATTATGCAAAGGTCCTTTTTGCTTCCTTACCCTGGACTATGCTAGTAACAATTCAGACTGCTACAGTCCACTTGTATTCAAGTGTATAAAAGAAGCATTTCCAGTGAAGTTGAGATTCTAGCCCATTAGCTTTCTGACCCAGAGTCTGTGTCACTTCTTACCCAGTCCTGACGGTTACAGTGACACTGGTTCACTTCAGAAATCCTGGGGGATTTTCCTGTGTCAGGACACTGGGGGATCACTGGGAATTCAGCTGAGTGGATGCTAGGCTAAGCCAGACTGAGAGCCAACACAATGGATCATCACTCTCCTTCTAAAAGGGAGTTTAAGGCTGACCAGGATTCACAAATGAGACCCCAGGGGTGGCTCCCATGTTACTGCAGACTGCCATGGGTTCAGTGGCAGCTCCCACACTGTGCCCAGCAGGAGCAGCACTGAGGGGAAGCTGCTGCCACACTGAATGCCTGACTGCATGGAGAAACCAGCCAGCACAGGCTGCCAGCACTCTGTGGCACACACAGCACAGTTGCAGCTGCATTAGAGCAGGAAAAACCCTCAGCCAAACCTGTCCTTTTCCTGACAAGTCTTCTTAGAAGTTCCCATTTCTCCTTGACTCTCTAAGCAATGCAGCTTTAAGATTCTGGGATGCAACTGCACAGTCAGGAATTTTAGCCTACTTACAGGAGGCTGAAAACAATCCCCCATTTTTTCACTTGGGACTTCATGCACAGTAACATCAGTTTGGGGACAAACCAGGGAAATACCAACAGGTGAAACAGAAATAAAATATGGAAGCAAGTTACCTTTACACAGATGTCCCTGAGCTGAGCTCTGACTTCTGCCATCAGCTTCATGTTCCTGCCATTGATAAAGTTCTCTCTGCACCATCCCTGCAGCAGAGACACCAGCAGTTAGAAGGGGATATTTCTTCACCCCAGGAGCATGACAGCCTTTGGATACCATGAAGAGCAGAATGCCCCCTACAATCTGCCTCAGAGAAAACGTGCTGACCCTTTTCCTGGTCATATTTCTACCCCACTTTACTCCAGTATGTCTAGATTCCCTCCCACACTGCTCAGAAACAGCAGGTGGTGGTTCTTTTCCCACTCAGAGCTGCCCTGCAAGGCCACCAAGAGCTGCAGAACAGAGGATAACACTCATTATCCTGTGTGAGGTGAAAACAAATCAGGTAAGAATGACAGGTGCTGCAAGGAATGGGGTGCATGAGTCCACAGATCCACAAATCAATATGAAAGGTTGACAGGGTAGGATAAATCCAAATTAACTTTTAAACATGCTCAGTGTTTTTCCAATGAATCCTGTCCCAGATATTTATCATGTCCAGGTATTTATCATCACATCTCAGCACTCTCCCACTCCC